AAAAAAAAACCAAAAAAAAAAAAAAAACACAACCCACAAACTGAGGGAACTCCTGAAATGAAAAATCTGGATAAATGATCTACAGATGCAAGCATAAACAACAGAATACAATACAAGAGATAGAATAGGGAATCTCAGGCAATGAAGATATGATAGAGGAAATAAATTTATTGGTCAAAGAAAATGTTAAATCCAACAAATTCTTACACAAAATATCCAGGAAATCTGGGGCACCATGAAAAGACCGAACCTAAGAATAAAAGGGATAGAAGAAGGAGAAGTCCAGCTCAAAGGCACAGAAAATACAATCAACAAAGTCACAGAAGAAAACTTTCCCAACCTAAAAAAAGTCATACCTATGAAAGTACAAGAAGCTTACAGAACAACAAATAGGCTGCCCCGCCAAAAAAAAGTCCCCCTCACTACATAATAATCAAAACAATAAAAACATACAGAATAAAGAATGAATATTAAAAGCTGCAAAGGAAAAAGGTTGTAACATTTAGGGCAGACCTATGAGAATTACACTCAACTTCTCAATGAAAACAATGAAATCCAGAAGGTCCTGGTCAGGTGTTATGTACACACTAAGAGACCATGGATGCTAGCTCAGACTACTATATCCAGCAAAGCTTTCAATCACCATAGGTGGAGAAAACAAGATATTCCATGACAAAACAAGACTTAAACAATACTCACCTACAAATCTAGCCCTACAGAAAGCACTAGAAGGAAAACTCCAACCCAAGGAAGTCAGCTACAACCCCCAAAACACAGGCAATGAATAATCCCACACTAGAAGATCCCTAAGAGAAACACACACACAATACCATCACCACCAACAACAAATAAAATAAAATAAAATAAAATAAAATAAAATAAACTAGCAATCACTGGTAGTTATTATCCCTTAATATCAATGGACTCAATTGCCTAAAAAAGGCACAGGCTAACAAATTGGATATGAAAACAGAACCCATCCTTCTGCTGCATACAAGAAACATACCTCAACTACAAAGACAGACATTACCTCAGAATAAAGGGTTGGGAAAAGATTTTCGGATCAACTGGACCTAAGAAGCAAGCTAGTGTAGCTATCCTAATATCTAACAAAATAGACTTCAAACTAAAATCAGTCAAAAGAGATGAAGAAGTTCATTTCATATTTGTCACAGGAAAAAAAAATCCATCAAGATGAAGTCTCAATTCTGAACATCTATGCCCAAGGGCACTCTCATTTGTAAAAGAAACATTACTAAAGATTAAATCACACATCAAGACCCACATGCTAATAGCGGGAAACTTCAACACTCCACTCTTACCACTGGACAGGTCTCCCAGACAGAAACTTAACAAACAAATAAAGGAACTGACAGATGTTATGACTCAAATGGGCCTAAGAGACATCTGTAGAAGATTCTACCCAAACACAAAAGAATATGTCTTCTTCTCAGCACCCCAAAGAACCTTCTCTAAAATGGACCACATACTCAGTAACAAAGCAAGCCTCAACAGATACAAAAAAAATTGAAATAACCCCTTGAATCTTATCGGATAACCATGGCTTAAAGTTAGAAGTCAACAACAACACTAATTTCAGAAAGCCTACAAACTCATGAAATGAGACTACAAACAATGTTCAACTGAATCACCACTGGGTCAAGGAAGAAATAAAGAAATTAAAGACTTCCTAGAATTGAATGAAAATAACATCACAACATACCCAGACTTATGGGACACAATGAAAGTAGTGATGAGAAGAAAGTTCATAGCACTAAATGTCTACATAAAGAAGCTAGAGAAATCCTGCTACTATTGAATTAGCAGAACAACTGAAAGCACCAGAACAAAAAGAAGCATACCCAGTAGGAGGAGATAGCTGGGAATAGTCAAACTGAGGAATAAAATCAGTAAAATAGAAACAAAGAAAACAATACAAAGAATCAATAAAGGGTTGATTCTTTGAGAAAAATCAAGAAGATAGACAAAACCTTATCCAAACTAATCAAAGGCCAGACAGGGAATATTCAAATTAACAAAATCAGAAATGAAAAGGGGGACAAAACAAAAGACACTGAGGAAATCCAGAGAATCATCAGGTCAT